TCTTTCCCTGGGGCTCTCCTTTAGAATTCGCGGCAGAAAGCCTCGCTCATTCCCACCCTTTATCTTCAGATCTGCAAACCGGAAATGCGAGGAGGTTTGGCATGATGGAAAGGGTGTGTCTTTGGGGACAGAGCTGTTCAAATCCAAGCTCTGTTGAGTGACACTGGGCAAGTTACCTGCAGCTTCAGTTTCCTCCTCCGTAAAATGGGGATGATGCGCCTATGTCATAGGATGGCTGTGAGGATAAACGATAATGAATTTGAAGTGCTTAGCCTGGCGCCTGGCTCTCGGTGGTGGTTGTGATGGATCCCATCTGAACCAACCCCTCCCAGCAAGTAAGGTTCAGCCGGAGTTAGCATCCTGGTTGGCCCGGTCCAGAGGCCCTTGCTCTTGTTCGCTTCTCCACCTAGAGACGTCACTCTCCCCACTTTGAGCAGAGAATTTTCCTGGTCAGAAAGGAACGTCTCTTTGAAGTACATCATGCAGCACATCGAGGCATCCCCGAACATCACCCACTACGCCCTGATCGGCATGCGGAAGTGGTCCAGCAAGACGGGGAGCCGCGAGGTGCGCAAGCCCTTCTCCCGCTGCCACGTGCATGACTTCATCATCCTGAACGTGGACCTGACCCAGAACGTGCAGTACAACCAGAACCGGTGAGCTCCTGTCCCCCTGTGGCCATAGGCACTGACGGGGACCTGCCATAGGCCTGGCAGACGGCTGCTTCTCCTTTGCCCTCCAAGGCCAAAGGCACCAGAGGCTTCCTGTCCATACAGGTGGCCTGGCCCCTGCTTGCGGCCCTCACCTCACATTTTTTTTTTTTTGTCCTCTTGTATAATTTTGTGGAAGAGAGCTTTGCATTACATCGTTCAAGCTCCTTCATCGATTCACACGATTCTTTATTTAGTGACGTACATAGTACCATTTCTGCGTTCCTCTTGCTTTTGAGGCTCCTTCTCTGGACACGTGGCTTTTTAGGAGCATTAGCATCGAAGAAAACCATAAAGTCATTTTCATATGTCACTGTCTATGTATCTAGCCACAGAAGGGCTCATGTCTCAAGAACAGCCCGATCACTCATGCTCCCTGAGTGGCCCCGTGTGCCAGGCAGTCGGCACACAGCAAAGGGCCCACGTGGCAGTGTCCGGTTTGGAGCCAGACCCACCTGCTGGGAACCTCGGTTCTGCCGCTCATCGGCTTCGCGGTGTGGGCAGGGGACACGTCATCTCTGAGCCTTGTTTCCTCGGCTGTCAGAAGTGGCTGGTTTTTTACCCTGGGAGGTTTGATGTTTACTTTGTAACAAATAGTCGAAAGGGTGTGTGTAAGGTCCTCACGCCGCGCCTGGCGTGGAGCGTATGGTCGGTCAACAGGTGGCAGTCCTTCTGGAGCTCACGCCTTAGGGGTCCCCTGCCCTTCCCAGCTGGTCTTGCTGTCGCTGTTTGTTTTGCCTGGAGGAAGGTCTGTGCCCCTTCGCGAGCCCCCAGGACAGGGAGCACACCCCGCACGTGTGGTGCCGGCAGGGGAGTGAGCTGCATCCGGTCCCATGCACCGCCCCTCTGGCTCTGAGCAGGTTCCTGTGTGATGATGTGGATTTCAACCTGCGGGTGCACAGCGCCGGCCTCCTGCTCTGCCGGTTCAACCGCTTCAGTGTGATGAAGAAGCAGATGGCGGTGGGCGGGCACCGGTCCTTGCACATCACGTCCAAGGTAGGCGGGCCGAGCGCCTGGCTGGGTCTGCCCCCTGGGCTGCGGCGTGAGGCGTGCGGTGTGAGAACAGGGTGGGAGCTGGTGGGGAGGCCACTCGGCTGTCTCCAAGTCGGTAGGGTGGGCTCGACTGCTCGGCTTTCAACCGAGTCTGCCCAGGCACATCCCCCTCCAGCCTTCCCGTGCCCTCTTGCCCACCCGCGTCCTCCCTGATGGTTCCTGCACACCTGTCCATCGCTGCGCTCGGCGCTCACTTGTCTGGCTTCTCTGCTGGACAGAGCTCTGGGGTGCAGGTGTGGTGCATGCTCTTCTCCGGGCCCCTGGGACAGTACCTGGCCGAATGTGGCCTGAATGGCACTGGCAGGTTAGCCCGTGATAGCTGTGCTGTCTGTCCCCAGGCCAGCCTCTGGGTGCGGAGAGGCGTGACCCGATTGTGCCGGTGCTGGCTGGGCAGGCCTGGGCGTTTCAGTGTGAGGTCACGGCGAGCCCAGAGCTCGTCTCCCCGCAAGTGATGTGAGGCTGGTGTATTCCTGCATCCACAGGCCAGAGCCCGTCCTCTGCTTTTCGCCTCCGTCTGTCTCGAGGTGGGCCCCGATGACGTCTAGCGCCAGCGGCCTGTCCTTCCTGGTGTCCACTCCCTCCTCACGTGGTTGCCCATTGCCCTCTCTGAGCGGCCGGGTCTGAATTCAGACACCAGCTCTGTCTCCCTCCCTCTTTCCCACCAGCAGGGAGTGAGGCTTCCTCTAGGAGTGAGAGTCCATCCTTCTTTCTCTTGCAAAGTAGCAAGACACTTAAATAAGAGGCCTTTACTTCCAGAAGATCTTGGAATCATTTAGTTAAGCCCCTCCCTCCCACACTGAGATTTCTTATTGAAACTGTTAGCTTTACAGCTTAATTTGGGAAGAATTCTGATCTTTACCATATTGTCTTTTGACCAAAGAGCCCAATCTGTTTTTAAAACTAATTTTTCCTTTAGTTCTCTCAGTAACATTTTTTAACTCTTAGGTATTTTATCTTTATTCCTATTTTGAGCCTAATCTTATTTTTCCTTTAGGTTTAATTGCATAGCAATTATATATAGGAAAGCTAGTGATGTTTTATAGCCTTTCATCTGGATGAAATAACTTAGTTTTTACTTATTTGTTCATTACGTACTCAGTCCCTTCGCCCAGGAAGATATAGTCCAGCAGCTGAGGCAGATGTTAAATGAATATGTAGTAAAGTGCTATTGCGATAAGCACCCAAGGGTGACGTCTGTGTCACAGGGACACCCGACCTCCCTGGCGGTGGAGGAAGCAGCATTGAAGCAGAGACCTGGAGGAGGAGAAAGCGCAGTTCATCCAGGCCCCGGAAGAACCCGGGCCACAGTGCTGAGGACGAGCGGGGCGTTTGGCATGGAGGAAGCGTGAAGGACGAGGGGTGGGCGGGGAATGGGGGATGGCAGAGGTGAGCCGGAGAAGTAGGCAGGAGCTTACTGGCCGTGGGAACATTCTAGACTCCTCTCTGGGAATGGCGAGAAGTCATCGAAGGGTGTGCAGCAGATTTGATTCATTTTCTTCATGTCGGCAGCCTCTCTGGCTGCAGCAGGGGTGGCGGCCGAGTAAGAGACCGTGGGCTCCATGCTCGGCTGTCCGGAGGAAGAAGGCGGGGGGCAGACAGCCCCTGGGGTCCCGGGCCGTGGACCCTGCTGAGAGGTTCCCTGAATTCGGGGAAGAGTTCCCAAGGTCCGCTGGTTCTCCTGTTTCTTTCTAGGCCAGGTGGCCGATTTTCTCATGGAATGGTCGATGTCCACAGTTTTTACTGATCGCACCGATCAATCTGCACGTGCCCCACCTTGACAAAACCTAATTCTTCTTAACAGAGGATTTTATTGTTGAAGTATGTGTTCTCAACCGCAGCACTACCGTGCGCCAGTCCATCGTGACGGGGCCACCCGCCCTGGGCTCCCACGTGGCCTGGAAGCCTCGGGAAGGCGTTTTCTGCTCAGGGGGGCGGGGAGTGGCTGACACCTTCCTCCCCGACGCAGGTGTCTGACCACCCCGTGGCTGTCGTGCCGGCCCAGTACATCTGCGCCCCGGACAGCAAGCACCCGTTCCTCGCGGCCCCGGCCCAGCTCCTGCTGGAGAAGTTCCTGCAGCAACACAGCCACCGCTTCTTCCCGCTCTCCCTGAGGAATCACGGCCACCCCGTGCTGCTGGTCGACTGCTACCTTAACCTGGGCTCTCAGGTAACTCCCGGAGCGGGGCACTGTCGAATCTATAAATCTGAGAAGTTCCCCAGAGACACACCAGCATCCAGGATGGAGCTATAACTTCGCCTCAGGTATTTGCCCTACTTTGCAGCTGATGACGTAAAGGCTGAAAGAATTTAAATGGTTTGCCCCAATATAGTAAGTTAGGAATCAAACCGAATTCTGATGCCAAAATGTTTCTGATTCTCTAATGAATTACGGAATAGATAGATCTGGATAAATCTCTTGGAATTGATTTTTAGGGTATAGATTTGGAAATAACATGAAAACATTGTTCCTGGCCCCCAAAAAACTTTGAGCCTGACCAAGCAGTTGGTATTCGTTAGACGCAGAGAAAGGCCTGGCATGGCGGTGCTGAGTATTTCGTGGAAAGCGATGTTCTGGCTTCCTTCGTTTTCAGATTTCCGTGTGTTACGTGAGCTCCAGGCCCCACTCCTTAAACATCAGCTGCTCCGACTTCATGTTTAGCGGACTCCTGCTCTACCTCTGTGACTCTTTCGTGGGAGCCAGCTTTTTGAAAAAGTTCCATTTTCTGAAAGGTAACTTCCCGTACTCTTACCCTGCCCCTTGACGCGAATGCCTGTCGTCACCTGGCCCCTCTGACGAGGTGACTTCTGGTCCTGGTCCTCATTTGCCAGTTCGTAAACTGAGGCTCAGAGAGGGAATGTGGCTGCTCCAACCATCCAGGGAAGTACAGAGGGCCGGGATGGGGTCCCCGGCGGCTCTCTTTCCCCTACACCGGTCTGGGTAGAGACGCGACACGTCCCCTCTCGTTTAGGCAAATAGCAGAGATGTTCAACATCTATGTCTGTTTTCCGTCCAGATTCTTAACATCAGCCCCGGGCCCCTCGGGAGCTTCCGTCTCCTGGCGGAGGAGTTTTTCGGGCTCGTCTCGGGGTTCCACGTGCTCCTTGGCTTTTATTCTCATCCTTCTTCTCCTTCTGTAGCTGTTTTTGTGCTGGAGTGGTTCAGAGCGACAAGCATTCATTCTCTGTGACTTAAACAAATTATTCCAGTCCAGCGGGGGTCCCTGCTCCAGTCCAGCTGGGATCCCTGACCGATCTGCTCTTTTCCTTGGTCGCCCTTCACTCTGACCTTTGGGAAACATTTCGTGTAATGAGAGTAGAGGACGTGTAGGCGGGGAAGTGGGAAGGTGGGTGGGTAGGTAGATAGACCAACGAATGAATGAATGAATGAATGATGTCTTGGTTATAATAGGAGCCTAGAGGAGGGAGGATTCCCCCGGCAGGGTGGTTGGGGAGAGGCGGGGGCTGCACTGGGCCCAGATGGGTGGGTGGCTTGGGCAGGAGAGGAAGGTGGGGTTAGATTCACACTGCGGGTCAGAGCCGAGTTTGGTTTGCGATCAGACCAGTGTCTCCTTCCATTCTCCTTTGTCGAAGTTTCTTCTGCCTCCATGTTGTCTCTCACCTGCCAGACCTGCCAGTCACAGTGGCACTGTCTGCCTTGCTCAGATTACGAAGCATTCCAAAGGAAACGAGAGGTCGCTCGGACATCTGGTCCTTCCCTTCCAAGCAGCATCGTATCTCGTTCTCGCAAGTAGAATCCAGGCAGTAGGTGTCGTTTGGATAAACTCACCTGTTTTCTGCATGCCTCTGCCGTTGTCCGTGCAGGTGCAACCTTGTGCGTGATCTGTCAGGACCGGAACTCACTCCGCCAGACGGTGGTCCGCCTGGAGCTGGAAGACGAGTGGCAGTTCCGCCTGCGTGACGAATTCCAGACCGCCAACGCCAAGGAGGATCTGACCGGACGACACATCTGAGGGAGATGCCGTCTGGCTTTCGGGACGAGTGGAGCCTTCAGAACCTCATGCTGTTGAGGCTAAAAAAAGAATTAGAACCATAGGGTGCTGGATCTGAAATGGGCCCCAGAGACCGTCTGCATACAAGGGCAAAAGTGGTGCATGCCGGGGCGCCCGGGCCCGAGGCAGGCGGAGACTTCCTGAGAGTGACAAGGTTGAGCGGGTGGCAAGCAGGAACTCAAGCCCAGACCTCCCGAGTTCCGGGCCAGCCCTCATTGCCCTGGGCCACGTCCAAGTCCATTTTATGAAGAACAAGGTTTTGCCTTCTGTCATGTCATCCATATGCTTCCATGGACAAACTTGACTTTTTTCTTAGTTCTAAAGAATCACTCTTGGCTTTTCCTGTAGAGGTAGCAGTATGTCGGGCATGGATATGATTCGAGCTATGTAGGTTCCCCTATCACCTTCTGCAAAGCAATACTCCGAAAGTAGATTTCCACCGTGAAGGCTGGAGACAAGAAAAAAAACACTAAGTGGGTCCTTGAATAAGAATTCTGTAACTGCCTACACGTTTGCTTTTTAAAAAGCTGGCCCAAAGGTATCAACTTTCATAAAGCAAAACAAATTATTTTACTTCAGAGCAAACACAATTCTATTAAAATAGTATAGGGTAAATACCCTACCTCTTAGAAAGGGCAAAAGTGAAAAAAAAAACTTTCTTTAAACTAAAAAGGTTTCAGGAAGGAAACTCAGAATACAGAGATTGACTTTAAGAACCATTTGCCTTCAAAGGAAGGAGGAACAAATGGCTTACTTGAAACAATAAAAACAACCAAAGTGATATATAATATAGTTGGTAAGAACTAGACTTCGGACTCATGTATCGAAGCTCAGTTTTCAGTCCCTCAAATAGCTTGTCTTCTCTTACGAATGCTTGGGCCCTGCCCAGAGGAAGGGGGATAGACAAGAGAAGACAGCAGGGATGTTTCATGATGCTCACACTATCACTTGCCTGCCAGAATGGTTTTTAAACCAGCGTTTTAGAGCGCCACCTACAGGCCAGGCACTGGGACAGGTGCATTCACAGTTAATGATCTTGTTTAATCCTTCCAACAGCCAGTGCGGGTGGATTTATTCTCCCATTTGAAAGATGAGGAGGTTGAGTCAGAGCGTGCACCTCACCACGATGACACAGCTGGAAAGGAGCAGAAGCACAAGTTCAACTGCTGGATTTTGGACTCCAGAGTCCATCTTCCCCTGACAGCACACTGCTTTTGGAGTGTCCGGTAAATGAAGGAGTAGTTTAACGATGCTCAAAAATGAATCGTCAGAATGCATTCTTATCCATCCATCTTAGACATTTGTAAGCACTATCATGGATAACAATCCAAGAAGAAATTATTTTAAAAGATGATGCCAAAGAGTTAATGCCAATCTTCTCCCCTAAGGAAAAAAAAAATCCATGAATATGAAAGATTTAGACCAATGTTTATAAAGTAATCACTTTGTATATGTCATTATTCCTATTTTGGAGTAAAAACTTACCTTCTTTAGTTATATTTGTCTTTTTGTAAATAGGTGGCTTCTGTGCTGTTTCCCCATTTTATTAGTTAATTTAAACTTGAAAAGAAACCAAACTAATATTCTTGTTTGTTCCAGCCTTATAAATAAAACTTAAAATGCATGTATTTTTTTCTTCGGTGTGTGTTAATGGCATTGTTTCGAGAGGAAGTAGTGTGGCCAGTGATCTCCGTGGACTAGGGGACTACCTGCTTAAAATCTAACGGCATGATAGAAAAGACAGTTTTGGAAAGGAAATAAGAAGAAATCTGTGCAGGTAGAGGTATGTTAATATGCAGAGGGATCGCTGAAAGAGAAAAAGCAGAGAGAGTTAGAAACGGAGGAAACCAAAGCAGAAAATGTGCAGAGAAGCTTGCCACACGGGAAGAAGGTCTTAGGGGTGCTCTGAGCGTCGTAGCGGCTACAGAAGCCTGGAGGGGAGCTGAGGTTTGTATTAGGATGATTAACTGGGAAAGGAGTTTGGAGCAGCGAGCCGTTCGATTGCTCCCAGCTCTTCCTGCCGTGCTTACCATCTTCCACCGACCTCGGTAGGCAGAGAGTGGATGGTAGACTAGAGAATACAGACTAGAGTGGAAAGAAGACAGCTGATTTCCGTTAATATTTGTCTTCGCATTGTATTAATATTTTATTTTTTTGACTTAGGAAAATCAAGTTTACATACCTTGTTTTTAAAATGTTTAATTTTTAAAATTGGAAATGCATGTGTCATAGGGTTTCCCTCCTCAGTTCCTTCCCTTTATAAGCATTTTAAAAATCTGAACATTTTAACAGCATTTTAAGAGCAGTATAAATATCTAAATTGAGTGCTGCACCTTTTTAAGGCGTTGCTATTCATGCTTTTTTCATCTTAATGCCTGCGCACAAATCAGCAACACCAAGAGAAAAATAAAACACTGTTTACAACAATAATTTTAGTTTGTTGCGGAACCAAACAGGTTTTTATCAAGGATGGCATAGTTACTACCAAAGTGTAACTTTAATACCAGTCAAGACAGAAATTGAGGGTAAAAATATGTTTATAAGTTAGTAATTAATCTTTGGAGTTTTAAATTTTTTCTAGGAAAACTATATAGGTTTTGTACTTGCCTGCCTAACTGGACCATAGGGACCATGGTAAGCAATTCTGAAGCAAATGGAATATTTTCTTATCATGTTTATGTATACGTTCTTCCATATTCTTGTTAAGGCTGCAGTTGGTATATGTATTTCTCTGAAGTCCTTCATTAATGTTGAATGTTTCAGGCCTCTCTTTTACATCTGTACAAAATCCCATTTAAAAACTATGAGCAATTTTCTGGGTTAAAAAACACCGATTAATACAGACTATGAATCAACCCAATGGTAAGACACTAAAAAGAAAGGTAGACCAAAATAGTCCTAATTTGAGTCTGGTTATTTCGTTGTGTTAACATAGACTGTGTCAAGTTAAATATTTTTTACTGTACTCTCTGTTGAATAATGCCATTACACTGAAAGAATTCACAACATATATAACATCAAAAGCTCGCCCCTAGCACGTTTCAGTCTGCATTGGTCAGTGTGCACCACGTAAAGTAAATTATGCAAGCAGCATGTTCACAACACTACCTTGCTTGACACTTTTCTCCCCAAACCTAACTCCACAATAGTCTAGATGCCACTACCCACGTCTGTGAAAAGGACTGGAACTTGGCTACTAGGCATTTTGAGCATGTGGTTGTTGGTTCGTTGCGAAGGCCGCGCCTGGGTGCAGCAGGGACCTAGCTGTGCAGTCAGGCCTGAGGCGGGAGCAACAGTGCACCATCCCACTTGATATTCTGCTGCAGCTCAGAACCCTCGTGGAGGCCGCTGGGAAGTATCCCCTGCTGCTCCGTGGCCCCGGTGTGCTTGTGCCACCATTGGACAGGCAGCACGTGGGCTGGACTGCTGAGCTCTGCTGTCGTGATTAGTCCACCTGGTGTGACGGTGGGAGGAGTAGCTCCCTCTGCTGTCCATGGGCCTCTGCTTCTGACTGCTCTCCGGAGTCCCTGAGTGACCAGGTCCGTCAATATGGTTACTGCTCTGCTGCTGGTGGGTTTTGGGTTTTTGTGTTTTTTGTTTTTGTTTTTTGTTTTGTTTTGTTTTGATCAATATGGTGACTGCTCTGCTGCTGGTGGGTTTGGGTTTTTGTGTTTTTTGTTTTTTTGTTTTTGTTTTTGTTTGTTTGTTTGTTTGTTTTCGTCTTCTTTATTACCAGGTCCAGATTTGGGTAAGGAATTTGACAACCTGCAAAAATGTCTGATATAGGAAGTGGATTATTTAAAACTAGCATTCTTGCCTAACTGGTCTGAGTTAATTCTCATTATGCGGACCATGGTAAGCAACTTCTGAAGCAAATGGATTTTTCTTAACTTTAATACCAGTCAACTTTATGTTTTCCAATATTCTTGTTAAGGCTGCACTTGGCATATGTTTTTCTTCTGAAATCCTTCATTAACGTTGAATGGTCAGGCCTCTCATTTATATCTCATTACCTTGGTTCTGTGTAGTTAGTCATGGGGCTAAAGACGGCTATTTTTTTTCTCTCTTTGTTTTTTGCTGCGATTTTAAAAATTATATTTTATTTTATATTAAGTTTCAGGTATACAGTACAATGCTTGGACTTTTATATAATTTATGAAGTGATAAAGAGGACTAGTTTTGATAATAATAATAAAACAGAAGCCTGGGGTGGGTTACGTAATCTATATTTTTACAACTCCCCTCCAGGTAATTTTATACCCAGTAACGTTTGGCCACCACTCTCACAGGAGTGGGAAGAGCATAGACTTTCAGAGTTAATTTTGAATTCAAATCCAGACTTCTCTTAATGCTTCACCTTGGTTAAGTCTCTCCCCAAGTCCTGTAAAATGAGGCAACGAGACCCTAACTTTCTGAGTGGTCCCGAGTATTAGCAGTGAGAACATAGGCGGTCTGGCCCCCTCTCCCTTACTTGGATGAAAACCTGGAGCCCAGGGCGGCCCACTAGCGAGGAGCACACGCCAAGCAGGCTCGGGCTCCCTGCCCGCAGTCTCCAGCTCATGCTTCTGCCCCATGAGGACGGCCTTGGGCAGGGCGAGGCCAAGTAAGGTGGTCCAGAAAAGCGACAGCAGGCGGCGGTCCTGTGCAGAGTCAGCAGGTGGCGAGTGAGCAGGGGCTGGCACAGGGCCAGGCAGTGCTCAGCATTCAGGCTGGCAACGCTGAGCACCGTGGCGCAGGCGCACAGCTCGTGCACGGAGTAGGAGGCACGGCTGCCCAAGTCATCGTAGACCCAGTGGTAGTGGAACCACACGAAGCTGTAGAGCTCCATGGGAACGGTGACCAGTAGCAGCAGCAGCTGCAGCAGCAGTAGCAGGGCGGAGAGTGCCTGGCTGTGCACGTTAAATAGCGCAGGCGCCGCGGGCCGACCTGCGCCTTCAGCACCACGAGCGCGGACAGCGCCTCGCCCTCCACTTCCCGCGCGGAGCTGAGCAAGTAGAGAGCGATCAATGGCTCCTTGGCCCAGAGGCGCCTGTCCACACCCAGCCAGGTGTCCAGGCTCAGCTCTGGGCTGCAGCTGGGCCTCAGGGGCCGCGAGCTGCTGGTTTCCATCCCCCTTCCTCAGGCTGCGCTCTCTCCCTCCCACTTCCAGGAGACTAGGTGAGCTGCCGGCTTAGGGAGCTGCCTCCTCCTCTCTGGAAACCTCTAGATGGAAGGACGCGCCCTGACGGGGGCGCCCCTGAGCCAATGCCAGACCGCAAGTGGGAGCCTGCCAGCCCGGTCACGTTTCTCCGTTCAGTGTCACCCAGGGAAGCACATGCTGGGTGGAAGGCGGGCTCTTTTGGGACCTGATAGACATGAGTCATGCCTAACGCCACCACTTACCAGCTGTGTGACCTTGGGCAAGTTTTTTAACCTCTCTCAACCCATCTCTGCATTTAAAAAATATTATCTACCTTGCAGTCTTTGTGAAGAATAAACGAGTGAATCCACATTAAATCTTGGGACCTGCGGCATAGGGAGTACCATGAGCTGTGCTGCTTTCTGTGTGTGGTCCCAGATGTAACCATCGAGAACTTGCCAGCATTTCGCAGCTCTTACTCTTTTTGGTAAGGGCTGTTTTAATGCCATGCTAATCTCCTTAAGGAAGTCCTCTGTCACTGGCAGATGCATCCCCCTGCTATCATGCTTTCCTAGTCTTTTGAGGATGTCACACTCATGGGTCAGTGGGAGGACGTATCCCAACTGCTTTCTGTTAGGACTTTGACCGACCTAGTGTTAAGTGTTAGTGATAAAGGACTTATCCAAAATATACACAGAACTCTGAAAGCTCAACAATAAGAAAACCAACAACCCAATTTAAAAATGGGCCAAAAACCTTAACAGACATCTCATCTTTGAAGATATACAGATGACAAATAAGCATATGAAAAGGCGTTCCTCATCTGTGTCATCAGGGAAATGCAAATTAAGACAACAATGAGATATCGATACTCACCTATTAGAATGGCCAAAATCTGGAACACTAACACCAAAAGCTGGTGAGGATGTGGAGCAACAGGAATTCATCCATTGTTGGTGAAAATCAGCGAAAACTAAACATACTTTTACCATATGATCATGCTGTGGACAGCAATTGTGCTTCTTGGCATTTACCCAAAGGAGTTGAAAACTTACTTCCACATGAAAACCTGCCCACAGACATTTGTAGCAACTTTATTCATAATTGCCAAAACTCAGAAGCAACCAAGATGTTCTTCAGTAGGTGAATGGATAACCTGGTACATTCAGACAATGGAATATTGTCCAGTGCTAAAAAGAAAGGCACTTTCAAGCCATGAAAAGACATGGAGGGAGGGACAGGTGACGAGGCGAGCACAGAGGGTTTTTAGGGCAGGGAAACTGCTCTGCATGTTACTCCAGTGGTGGACACGTGTCACTGTGCACGTGTCAAAACCATAGAATGTACAGCACCAAGAGGGAACCTCAATGTAAATGATGGGCTTTGGGTGACAACGCCGAGTCAATGTAAGTTTGTCAGTTGTAACAAATGGGCCACTCTGCTGTGGCTGTTGATAGTGGAGAAGGTTGTCCATCTCCCAAGGGATTATATGGGAACTCTGTACCTTTAGCTCAGTTTTGCTGTGAACCTAAACTGTTATAAAAAAAAAAAAAAACCATAAAGTTTTTCCCTCGTACTTCCCATCAAACGTGAAAGGATGAAAAAGTCATTACAGGGTGCAGCGATCAGGGAAGGCCCCGTGGGGGAAGGAGGTTTGACCTGGGCCTCGAAAGTGGACGAATTCGAAAAGGAAGAGGAAAGAGAAAGGCATTCTGAGGAGAGGCTGCAGCATGAACTAAGGTTAAAACGCGGGGAATGCCAGGGGCTCTTGGGGCTTCACAGGTGACTCCCAGACTCCAGGCTGGCAGCCTGGAGGAAAGTGACTTCCTGTGCGTTTATTGTTCACGGCCAGGAGCACACAGGGAAGGGTTTTGGGGGGGACGTTCAGCCTGGTCCCAGCCACAGTCCCATGGGGCAGTAATGGTGTCCTCGGGAGCACGTATTCAGGGAGAGAGTCTGCGGCTGACAGAATCCAAAATAAAACAGAGGCTCAGTTTCCTCATCTGTGAAATGGAGCTATTAACGCCCACCGTGGAGTTACTGTGCGGGTTGGAAGTTGCTGCCACTTCGTGAAGGTCTAATCCGTTCCAGGCATGTGTCAAGGACTCTCAGCGCGTGGCCTCGAGTAACCCGATCGCAGCCCTATGAGGGACAGACTATTTTTATCCATGTTTCCCCGATAAGGAAATAAACTCTTAGAGACTCAGTGACTTGCCCTGAGTCAGAACAGCTTCTAAAGGGCAGAGTCGGACCGAGAGCCCAGGTCTGCGTGACTCAGACTGTGAGATTTAACCACCACGCAGAGCTTCCGGGAGCCCTGTCATCATGCGTGACCCATTTCTAGGTGCACCAGCCAAACCAGTGCTGGCTCTCAACAGCCCTGCATAGCAGGGGGACACTTGTCAGCCCTATTGCCCTGCTTCCAACACACGCTGCCATCAGGGCTGTGAAGCCACCTGCCAGGGACGCAAGCACCGAGCACCACGCCCCCTCCTGGTCATACCTGAGCCTGCACAGGACTGTGCCTTCCTGAGTGAAGCCCTGACGCTGGGTCTGCTGTGCTCAGAGCCACCGCTGCCTGTGCACGTAGTGCGTACTGTGCTTCCATCAGATTTTTGGCTAAATGCTACACACAATCAGGTGTAATTACTCACAATCTTATCACTCATTGGTCATGAGTTTCTTAAAATATCTTGACAGGGTGAATTAAAAATAGTAAGAGTGGCAGTGACCCAGCTCAGTAGAAGTGTCTTCAACTGTTGTTATTCTCTGCCTGCAACCTCAGGACATTTCGGTGTGTTCAGACTGTGAGAGCTGTTCCAGGGCTGGGTGGGGGACGCCTTGCTCCCTGCCATGGAACACCCTGTGCTTTTCTGGGGTGAGGAAGGCGAAGGCACCAGTGTGGCCAGGATTGCTGCATAGTGACCTGGACATGCGGGTTCCTAGGATCGAGTACCTCTCTGCTCCTTACCAGATGCAGCACCTGGGGAAGCCACTGACCCCCGAAACCTGTAAAGGGAGCACATTAGACCCAATGCGTTTGATGTATTTTTTATTCTTCCAGGCACCTTTAATGTATTTTTTTTTTAAATTTTACTTTATTATTAGTTTCAAGTGTACAGTACATTGGTTAGACATTTACACGGTTTATGAAACGGTCCCCCAATTGCTCTTTCTTCCCTCTGGCCCTCCACCCAGCCGTTACGTTACTGCCGACTGCATTCCCTGTGCCGTGCTCCCCATCCCCGTGACCATCTGTCAACTACTCATCTGTACTTCTTTAACCCTTCACCCCATTCTCTCACCTCCCCCAACACCCCTCCCGTCTGGCAGTCACCAGATTGTCCTCTATATGTGGGAGTCTGTTTTGATTAATTTGTTCTTTTTGTTCCTTAGTTTCCGCATGTAAGTGAAATCATATGGTATTTATCTTTTTCTGACTTCACTCAGCATAATAACCTCTAGGTCCATCCATGCCATTGCAAAGGGTAGGATTCCATTTTTTAATTGCTGAGTAATAGTCCATTGTCTATATGAACCATAACCTCTTTATCCAGTCATCTGTCGATGGGCACTTAGGGTGCTTCCATATCATGGCTATTATAAACAGCGCTGCCATGAACATAGGGGTGCACAGATCTTTACAAATTATTTTTTGGTTTTCTTTGGATAAATACCGAGAAGGGCAATTACTGGGTCAAAAGGTATATCCATTTTTAATTTTTTGAGGAGCCTCCAGACTGTTTTCCATAGTGGCTGTGCCAATCTGCAGTCACACCAACAGTGCATGAGGGATCCCTTTTCTCCACATCCTCCCCAACACTTGCTGTTTTTTGATTTATTGATGATGGCCATTCTGAGAAGTGTGAGGTGATACCTCATCGTGGTTTTAATTTGCATTTCTCTGATGATTAGTGACCTTGAGCATCTTTTTATCTGTCCATTGGCCATCTGTATGTCCTACTTAGAGAAATCTCTATTTAGGTCTTCCGCTCATTTTTTAATTGGATTGTTTTTTGTTGTCGTTGAGTCGTATGAGTCCTTTATATATTTTGGATATTAACTCTTTATCAGATATATCAGAAGCGAATATCTTCTCTCCCTCAGTCAGTTGTCTTTCCGTTTTGTTGATGGTTTCCTTTGCTGTGCGGAAGCCTTTGATGTATTCTGGTACTTCTCTCCCACTGCAGCCCGGGGGGATTTGTGGTCAGGGCCCCCTCTGGAGGGAAGGAGAAGCCGGCAGTGACACTGGAGAACTCCTGGCTCCAGAGGGATTTGGAGAACCAGAGAGATGCTTCAAAGAGCCAACAAGGCAGAGTCGAAAGACTTCCGGAGTCAGTCACAGGGTCATAGGTTGCAGGGACTTCGGGGAGCTGGGGGGTAGGGAGAAGTTGGGAAGCCTAACTTACCACGCGGCTGCATGTTTGCCTCCAACTGCCCTCTCTCTGACCCTTCTTCCTTCCTCGGGCCTCGGCGTCATCCACTGACATGCTCAGATTCCTGTATTGTCAGGTCCTTTCCTCGCCCCACCATGGTCTCAGTGGCCCACCCTTTCTTTCCCTGGGTGAGATCATAAAGCCGGCCCCCTCTGTCCCTGCCTTGTCCGGGAACCGCCCTCGTTATGTGCCCTCCCTCGCACCCAGCTATAGATCCCTCTAAAACCTGGGCACATCTGAGCCCAGCCCATCACCACAAATCCCAGGTTCCCGGAGGGATTAGAGATGGATTTCGAGTTCTGCTTTTGAAGTCTGCCTGGCCCTGTTTTCCACTTCCTGCTTTGGGACCCAAGGCCAGTTCTTCAAGCTCCTATTTTTGGTCCGCAACCTTATAGGGATGCTGTGCAAATTATATGCCAGAATGCAGCTTACATGCTTGGCTTCCTGGAGTGGGGGACGTATTCAAAACTGAGAGCTGTCATGATGACTGATGCTGCTGAGCGTGATGGAGGTGACGACCATGGCCCACTGAACCCACTTTCCTGACCTCCCAA